CTCATGGCGGGTTCACGCCCTCGGTCCACGCCTTCCCGGATCATGCACACCTGGGCCTCATCAGACCAGCTGGTATATTAGAAGGAGGAGATCAGCTGTTCAATGCTGGATTGTTGTGAAGACTCTAGTCAGTACACGTCAAGCCCAAGTTTCGCATGCTTCCATCTCAGAAAGTTAACGTGTGTCTCTGTGTTCTAGATTCCCTGGACCTGTCCCCATGTTTCCCCGTGTGGAGTGTGGAAGGAGTGACTGGTCACTAGTGGAGAGAGAGAGGTTGGAGTGAGCGCGTGTGTGATTCCCTTGTTTTCCCTGGAGCCCTGGAACCCTGCCTCTCACATCTTGTATATAGCCCTATCCTCGCACTGTCTGTTAATACACTTGGTGAAGATCTTGTAAATAAACCGTCTCTGTTAAAACACAACTCCGGAGTCCTGCGAGTGGATCCTCAGAGCAACCCGTGACAGTGATATCAACAGCAATATCAACTTTTCTGGTACCAACAAGTCAAATCAAGGGTTAAACTAGGCAGCACCATCCCAAATGGTGTGCTGGTGCCTTTAGTTAACCGGAGGTGAGAAGTAACAGCAGTTACGTAGAATTTTCAGGTATCTTAATTTATTTAATCATTTATTTTTCTGGCAGTCTTTTTGCTTTAGGCCTACTGCTTACATTTTCAGACACATATCTGTACTTTCTACTTTTTTTATACTTTTGTAACACCGTTATTATTTTACTTCGGTATAAAAAGAGGATTTAAAAGAGGCAGACTTTCACAGAAGTAAAGATGGGCAAAGGTTCACAAGTTGAGATTTTTGTCTCAATGCATGGTCAATCATCCAGGTAAGAAAATCCCAGAAATGTAATTGTGCTCACCCCCAAATAAACAGAATAACTGAATAAACTTTCTCTGAGTTGAACCTTTCACCAACTGAGAACATATACAGGAGTGTTGAGCAGCTGGAATCCCCCACAAACATAGGACAACAGTTCTCTACCAAAAATCCAGCAACTGGCCTCCTCAGTTCCCAGACATTTACTGACTGTTAAAAGATACTACCCAGTAGTAAATATGGCCCTGTTCCAGCTTTTTTTGTGACATATTGCTGACATCAAAAATTCAAATGTACCACCATTGCTACAGTGGCACCAATGGTGGTACATTTTCTCATTTTAAACATTTGATGTTTTTTATGTTCCACTGTTAAGAAAATATGGGTTTATGACAATTGAAAATCACTGCATTATGTTTTTATTTACATTTTGTTAGAGTTAAGTCTTTTAAAATTGTTTCTTGCAGCTTCTGTTGCATGCATAAGATGAAAGAAGCTGTCTCTTCGCTGTAATTTTCTGTTGCACATTTAGAAACCAAAAGTTCCTGTTTTTATAAGTTACAAGACTGTTCACTTTTGCTTTCTTCATGGCTTGTACACATGTTAGTTTGTGAAAGGGCACACTCTGTATGGGGGCGACTGGAGAGGTTGATTAAAGTCATGCCTTGTATGGTATGTCGAGGGGCCACACAAACACACACCCTCGCATACACACACACACACAGACACTCGCTCAGATACGCTTCTCTGTCACGTGGATAACTGAACTGTATGTAACCACCAAATGTGAGACGAGCTTTTCTGTTCTTTTTTGTCAGCAGTGGTTTTTTTCTCCTTTGTTATTGTTGATTTACAAACACTGGTCTTAACTGAGGCAAATGAGGCCTGCAGTTCTTTAGATGTTATCTGGGTTCTTTTGTGGCCTCCTGGATGAGTCATTGATGTGCTCTCGAAACATTCTTGGAAGGCTAGTCACTCCTGGGAAGGATCATCACTGTTCCAAGTTTTCTCCATTTGTGGATAATGATATAACACATCTATGCCTGGTTCCATTCCATTTCTATCTTCCACTTTTTGACCTCCCACAAGGGTGAGAGTGAACTGCTTGACATGAAGAAGAACTTTGATCTCTGGCCTAGAGTCATCATCAGGTCATGTATTAGCATTGAAGCCAGGTTCTACTGTTTGAAACCACAGCTCCTGTCTGCTGCAAGATTGTTATGCCTTAGTTTCTTTATTTAGTAGCAAAATCCAGTGTTTAGCTTATTCATTTATGGAAGCTACGGACAATTCTTCTTGTCACAGCTGCCCCCCTGATTTCCTGTTTGCCATTTAACACACCAACCCCCTTCCTTACTCCACCTTTCCCTTTTGTTTTGTTATTCTTTTTACTGCCGGCTGCTGGTTGTGCTGAATCCCACGAGACATGCCTCAGAAACTTGACGTTTTAAAGAATTAGATGTGTTCCACAAACTCAGTAACTCAATTAATACTCGTAGTGTTTACATTTCTCCCGTGTTTTGATGTTCCCCTGTTTCACTTTGTGGTATACTAGCTGTGTAGTTCTTGTTTTTGGTATTGCACGACTGTCAGTATCATTAGTCTTCTATTCACTGTCATGGTGGTGACATAATGGGCTGTATATTTTCACATAGGGACAGGTAGTTTATTTTCCCTCAATAAATAAAAGTATAATTTAAAAAAACAGCATTTTATATTTATTCAATTTTTCTTTAATTGAATAAATTAATTTTAATAGTAAAATGTGTTTAATGATCTGAAACATAAGTGTGACAAGTGCAATAAATAAGGAAGAGGAAATAAGAAAACACATTTTCAGAGTACATACTCAAATACAGTGGATGTGAAGACAGATTACAATCCTGTAAAACAGGAGAGATAACAAGCTGAGGAAACATGCTGCTGTTCGCCAGAATGGCAAGTTTCAGACGGCTATGCGAACAACTGAGTTCCAAGGCACTCTGCTGCCCTCTACTGCCAAAGTGACACACATTCACTTGCAACACTGTTTATTTACTGGTATAATGAGGTTCACAATGTGAAGCATACAAGATTACCTGGACAGGTTGCCAATCTGTTGCAGGGCTAACACAGAGTGGCAGACAACCACTTACACTCACATTGGCCAGTTTAAAATCACCTCCACTCCAATCAAACTCCACTGAGAAAGGCCAGATGATGGATTAGACATTAGGACCTTCTTGCTGTGAGACAACAGTGCTAATCATCGAGCTACCTTGGTCCCCCAGTCATCCAGCCTTCACATGTGAATGACATTTGATTAATTTGTGCACTAAAGGATATGTCCTGGTCAAAAATGACTCCAGGCTGTTTCACAGTGCTACTGCAGGTCATCCTGATTGAACATCAAGTCTGACATTTTTAGTGAAATGCAATATCCATGTATTTTTGTTCTTTTACATGCATGGATATGGTTTAACCAATATGTGTCATCGGGTGATTAAAAGCTCTGATGACCCTTTGTCAGTGAGCTGAGGGAGTCAACAGGCAGCTTGTTGGGTTTACTTTGACATTATAAGACTTTTTTAAGTTCCACGTCCACACTACTTGCCAGAACACTCATGCGTCACCTAATGGAAGGCTAAATGAATCCCCATCATTGGCAACAGGGTGTGGAGATGTTCTATAGGTGGAGTGTGAATGCTATACAAACCATCTGGGACTCTCCACCATTTGACCCTAGAACTGAAGAAGCTTCTCAGATGAGAGGTGAAACGTCTTCAAGCAACTTAAAGAAGTCCAGACGCTTTTCTTTCCAAGCTCCTTAGACTACGATGACCTGGATAACTGAGAACCTTCACAGACATATTGCCGTTATGCGGTTATCCTAATTGGGCGTTTATAAAGTCAGCAAAGAGTAATTAGTAATTAGATATGTTACTAATCTCCCTGTGCAATACAGCAGCTGGACCTTTAGCTAGCAACACACTGTGCAAACTGCATACAAGCAGTTTGTTTCTTTACTGATGTTTGTTGAGCTGATGGCTAGCAAGATACTGAAGTACTGCAATTTATGGACACCTGCAGTTGTTCCGGTGTTCAACAAAAAATAAATAAATAAAAGGAAAAAGGACAAACATCCCCACTTAAACCCCTGACTATAGCACTCAGTTTTGCCTCTTTCATCTATTTTTATGCAACATCCTCTGGTGATTAATACAGGAACAGGATTGAGTTTCATGTGTTACTTTTAGGAAAATTAGTTTGATGTTTAAAGGCCCACAGTGACGAAATAATAACGCAAATGCGTCAAACCAAAAGTAACGAGCCTGTTTTGAAAACACAAGAAGTAGAAATTACAGATATTTGTTTAAAGAATGTAGAGAGTAAAATTAAAAAGTTAACATAAAGTAAACAAATAAACTATAGATACCTGATAATTGTACTTAAGTAAAGTATGTATTTGTACATTGTTACTTCCCGCTCTCTGGTTATGTGTGTTTTATTTAATTTAGTTTTAAACAAAGTTTCATGCAACCTCTCAATATTTGTACAAAATTATTTATAATCAACATGGAATTCTGCAGCTGGGCCTGAAGAGGGCAGTATTGGTTCAATGTGGAGTTTGGAAATCTCTGATTTCTGTTTTAAAAGCACCACTTAGTACTTTCAAAGATGGTGTGACAAAGCTATCTGTCCACATATACAGTACCCAAAAATAAGACTGCATGGTTGACAAACCATTGTTGGCAAAGATGCATAAGACAGTCTCTTGTCAGCCTCACATATGTAGAGCTTGGAAGTAGAAGTTAAGATCAAGATAGAAACAGTACAAACCAAAGATAGCCACTTCCTCCTCCATCAAACACATCCTGCATCAAGACTGATGATGATGTGATCTCCATAGCACAATCTTCTCTGTGCCGCTATCGACTTACAGAGAAAGTCTTGAATTTGGCGCAGATTGTATTTTATTGTAATTGTAAGTGTTTTTAAAAACTCTGCCATAAGGGGTGTCATGTAAAAGAAATACAAACTTTCATAGCCGCTTTCATTCTGAGCCTCTACAGGGCTAGAAGCATACAATGCATAATATTAGTAATGTGCACAATAAAAACAGTTTTCATTTTAATCAGCTTAAGATACATAACAGAAAAGGTGTGCAAGAAACTACACAAAACAGAAAACTCTTTTTCTTTGATTGTTTAATAGAATATATTGTGGAAAAAATGAAAACCCTTCTCAGATTATCTATTATACATGTTTTCTTGAAAGTATTTGCAAACAAAGTCATGCATACAGTGCTTAGATATTTACAAAAAAAATTTTACAGCATGATCTTATGCATCTTGGGCCTTAGTATAAAAATCACCCCTGCTTTCCCTTTTTGGCTCCATCTGGTGATTTCAGAGGCAGACTGCTACAAAGTCATTTCTCCCTGCATATATGTTAATAGTCTACAGGTTAAAGTACAAAATGTGGAGCATAATAAACAAAAGTAATGCAAAGACTGATTCAAAATAGAAGCTCTTAAATGTAAATATTTTCCAGTGCTGTAGGAAGCATGAATGTGGAGACAATCAAAAGAGAAGTTCAAAGCTAAACCTGCCACACCGGTTTCATTTCTCTATGTGAGTGATCAAACTTCTAAGCTGTGTTCTGCTCAGGAGCCTCATCTTCCTGTGACTCCCTCTCAACTTCTTCACGTATTTCCTCATAACCTCTACTTCTAAGCCCTGACATCCTCCTCCTCCGCTTGAATAGGACTACTCCCACTATGGCCACCATCAGCATCACACCCATCACACCAAAAACTACACCTGCCTTTTCTCCATTAGACATTTGACTGAGTTCAGGGTTAAGGCCTTGAACAATTTCCTGGATTTCTTCTGGTTCAGCAAGTTTCCACATTTTGGTCTGGCCCACTCTCACCCAGCTGTTTTCTCCTTCAGTCATCACCATCACTGTGTTGGTTGCTTGCATGCTGATAAGTGGAGGTTTGGTGAATGGAGGCAGACGAATTGGTTTGAGCTCTCCACCTGTGAACAGTCCAGACTGAACACAGTAGAGGATTTCACAGCCATCACTGATTGCAGCAAGGTGCTGACTGAACTTGGGAGGGCACCTGCG